TACCATAAATCCTCAGGTATAAGCCCACATCTGGTTAAAGCCCACCTGCCATTTTATACCCAATTTTATGTAACAGCCTTTCCTCAGCCAAAGTCCATAGTATGATTTTTACAAATATTACAAAAAAAAACAATATTGGCCTTGAATTAGGCATACAGTGCCAAAAAATTGCCATTTGACAAAAAGTCCCACCCCCAAAAATTTACCAAATTTTGTATTTAGGGGGAGGGATGGGCTTATACTAGGGAACTATGGTAGTTAAAAAAATTAGAGTTCTTGCTAAACTAAGAGTAGGAACTACAAGTAATCTACAATAGTGAACCATACTTCTGCAATATAAAATTTACATACCATAATTTTCATTAAACCCATCTCCGGAGACAGTTATGTATAATTAATGCTAAGTACTTATTGGTATTCTACAAACGTGCCAAATGCCAAATCAGTTCATATAACACAATTCTCATTTGCAAAAGTATATTGGAAATTTAAATACACAAGAAAAATCTCCATTGAACTGATTTCTCCAAAATAAAAACTAAAATTAAAATTGAATTTAAGAGATTTAAAAATTTTCAATCAAAAATTTATTATCATTTAATATTATTTATTCTGGTAATTTAATCCAAAAAAGCATCTATTATACAATTTGTTTTTAGTTTTAGCTTCTATTTGACAAAATTTGCCATTTTGTAAAAAATGTTTCTGTCATCAAATTGATGAATATCAAAGAAAATATGACTTAAGGGAAAAAATGCATTATTCTGAAGTTAATTTATTGCAATTCAAAAATTTCTTGAAAAAATATTAAGCAGAATTGAAAAGTGAATCAATTTTAGATCATTTGTCATACTATTCAATATTGTATATATAATCAATCAAGTTACATCCTCTACTTCATGAATAAATGTATAAGACTTATGCAAAGTCACAATTTCAACCATTGATATGGGAATAAATCACACTTAGAACTACAGTTCCATATTTTAATAACAATTATAATGCAGCCATTACTAGCATCTGTTCTTTTCCAAGTAATCCTTCCATATGCAGATGAAACAACAAATTTATTTTATATTATTTTGTGGCAATATTAATAACAACTGATTATTAAAATGATATAAAATATGAAATAAAATTTTGGTGTAAATTTAATAATAATTTTAGTTCAAATTGCTGTATTCTAGTTGTTATTGTGCTGGGTGAATGTACTACGTAAATCATACAGTAACAGATGACCTGTCCTACATAACTAGTTTTACTATACTGCTTCCAGCAATATAATAAAAATACAATTTGAAAACAAGAGAAAGGCACTGAGGATTTGCGCCAAACCACTTCCAAAGCTGTGACATAGCTGCTTTATTTTTTTTTTATTACGCTTCATCACCGCACAAAGAGAAAAATAAAAGGCAAACACAATAAGACAGAAAAAGAAGGGAAGAGATGAACAGGTGTCAGACACCCCTCTATCTACATCCCCCCATTTGTGGCAAAGACAAGTCAAACCAGTGACTCATCGCAAACATTTTTAGTTATTAAAACAGGGTTAAAAAAAAAGTACAATGAGAACTATAGAATGGTAAAAGAATCATTTAAATCCGACTTTTTGTATATGAAGTTACAAGGGTTTAAAAATACAGCTGTTTAATAAACAATATTTGAGAAATCAGCCTTTAAAATTTATGATTTTGGGAATTTCTCAGGCAGAAACCATCACTAAATCATTAAATTTGGTTGTTTTAACATTGAAAATAGGGAAAATAACAGCTTAGCATGATATATAGAGTACCACAGTCGTGTGGTCACGATGCCAGGTGTCGCCCTCTGTTGTCAC